GGAAAAGCCTTGAGCTGACATAATTGCGACGTATCAGAATATCATCTTCGAGTATCCGTGGCCACTTTACAATCTGGTCGTGTTGCCAAGATCGTTCCATCTAGGCGGTATGGAAAACCCAATCTTCAACTTTTACAGCGCCACTGTCGTCTCGGGAGACCGAGAGAATATCTCTGTGGTCGCGCACGAGTTCGCGCACAGCTACAGTGGTAATCTTGTCACTAATGCGTCCTGGGAGCACTTCTGGCTGAATGAAGGCTGGACTGTCTGGACGGAGAGGAACATTGTGCGCGAACTCAGAGGGGACGACGAGGTCGAGCTCCAAGCCATCGTTGGCTGGCAGGACCTTATTCAATCTATTGAAATGTATGGCGGCGAAGACAGCGTCTTCACTAGCTTGGTACTTGAGTTTGAAGGCAAGAGGCCGGACGATATTATGTCCAAGATCTCGTACGAGAAAGGCTACACCTTCCTATGCTACCTTGAAGAGACCGTCGGACGAGAGAAGTGGCTCAAGTTTGTGCCATATGTAAGTTTACCATTTTGCTGTCTACAATTTGAAGACTAACACTTCATCACTTAAGTATTTCAGAACGTTTTATGGTGCCGCGGTTGACTCATCCCGATTCAAGGATTGTGTTCTCAAGTTCTTCTCACCCGACGCCGCTGCTACCTCCTCACTTGGCTGCGTTGACTGGAATTCTTGGTTTCACAAACCAGGCGCGCCCCCAAAGCCAGGGTTTTGCTCTGAGCTTTACAAGAAGGCCATCGAATTGGCAGATCAATGGGGCAGTCTCTCGGTCCAATCTGCGTTCAGGCCGTCTGGTAGCGATGTCGAGGGTTGGACAGCGGGACAAGTTTTAGTCTTTCTTGATCTACTCATTGAAAGTCCGCAGCCAATCCCACTCGAGTATTGTAAGCTTCTTGACGAGTTGTATGACGTGGGAAAGTCTAGCAATCTTGAAGTCGTCACTCGGTACCTTCGTGTCGCGCTCAGAGCCGGCGATCGCAGTGTTTTGAAGCAGACTGAGGATATCCTGGGACAGACAGGCAGAATGAAGTTTGTGAGGCCGCTGTAAGTCGCCTCGACCAGAGCACAAGTCAAGATCATGGCTGACAGTTCACAGGTTCAAAGAATTATTGTCGGTTGACGAAGAGTTGGCGTTAGAACTGTTCAAGAAGTATCAAGACTTTTACCATCCCACTTGTCTCAGACTGGTTAGAAATCTGTTTGACGAAGAAAGGCCTTAAGACAACTACATACTGTCTTTCATGTCAAGGGTTTAGGCATTGCCTCACCAAAATCGGGCATAAGGGTGGGGTGTACATTCACGGCACATGGATAGATCTATATAGACTTGTACTGACTTTTCAAATTCGAATCTCGGTGATATGACTAGACCAGTCGGATGTGCTAGCATATTAAGGTCGTAAAATCATAAACTGAGCCAACTTAATGAGAAGCCACTAGACGAGTGTCGGTCCTCCTCAGACCCAAACGTTACGAAGTCGATATAGACACGCGATCCATCCTTTTGAGTTTGAACCGTACAGTAAACAAGAAACATATACCAATCAAAGTGTCGAACGATGAAGCAAGCGATGCCTTTCACTTTCCTATTTTTGCCAATTTTGGAAGACTTTGCCAGCTAAGTTGGGGTGCAACAGCACGGTCCGCCCCTAGATTTGGATAAGGTTCATTAACTTTCGGTCGGCGGCGTTTGCCCCCACTGGATTGTTGTTCTAAGAACAGTTTCCATTTCGTCGGTAAACGTCGAGAACGTGGCATTGTTGAAACAGTTTCATTCGGTTGCAGCCGCTGTTGGGCTGGTTGCATTTTCACTGTTATATGACGACACTCTCCACTATGTTCCCGGTTTGAGTCACGACTGTGATGATGACCTGGCCCTACCACAGTCCTTAGCAATGAGAAAAATGTAATAAAAGCCCAATGAAGACCATATCACTTGCGGCTCGAATACCAAGATAACATACTGCATGTGAAATCTATGAACACATGTATAGTACTTTCCGATAACTACGCGTTGTGACTTTTCAGAACAATTGCCAATTATTCTTAATGGCGCTACCACTGATACGTGTGGTTCTTGGCCCAAGGTCATTTTGAGGATGTCATGAGTTGCCATCGAACTTTCTCAATCGAAGGGCGAATCGTACATGGATCGGGGCTTTGTTTCGAAAAGAAATCTCCGATGTTGGATGCCTTGATGCTTGTTTCTTTTTTTCTGTCGACAACGAGTCAAGTACTGACTCGGTCTCCGATAAACAGCGTTGCCAACACGGGCCAGACTGCCGTTTCCCTTGTTCCGAAGTTGCTTTTTCCTTCCTTGATCATCACTGGAACTGGCTCCAAGTTGTTTTCGTCGCCAGCTACGCCACGTGGGGGGCTGGGTAAGGCCGCCGTCGCCGTTGCCGGCTGGGATGGAGTCTCGGACCTGCCCCAAGCCGAAGGTGGGATTCCGGACCCGATGACCCTTTTTATCTTTCCGGCGGCTGTGCATGTTCGTCCCAAATCGCAAGTCGGCATGTGCTTGTCTTGTGCGTGAAACTTTCATTCGTCCAATAAGCCATCCATTGTATCCACGGATCCAGACCCTCGGTATGTGGGATGCCAGGTGGGATGCTGTCAGGGAAGCAGTAGGTTTTTTAGTATCCATCATGGCCCACAAGACATAGATTACGGATAGGCAGATCGGGCCTCGGTCGACTTCCATGCTAAGATTTTTACCTTTGGATGAACGCTGCATCATTGATACCCCTGTCCGGCATCCACCGAATGGGCAACTCGAGACGAATAGACGCCGGGGGGCAAATCTTTATCTCAAGCTTCGCCAAGTTTACGATGGGGTCAGCGGATCCCCAAGCCGCATGCGCGGCTTCTTTCGTAGGGCCATCGCAACTTTTTGCGTAGCCGGTGGATATTTGTTCTTCGGAGCTTGAAGAATCTTGAATTCAAAAATTTCCACTCCGGGTCCTTGGACTCCTATCTTAGGAGGAGTCTAGGGAGATCCCGAGGTCTTGGCAAGGTCGTGCTGTCAGTATAAGTGAAACTGTCTCCCTTTTCCACGAAGCATAAAGACAAAAGAGTCTGCTCTTCACCACATTGTTTGTCGCTTTCCCTGCAGATCTTTTCCAGAACTGCCTATCTCTCACTGATCGACATGAAGTCGTCCACTCTTTTCAGCCTGGCCTCGGTCGTTGCCTTCGCTAGTGCATCGCCTGTCTTTCCCGCCCATGGTCACAACGGCCACAATGGAACCTTTTCTAATTCCACTTGCACTTCTATGAACCAGAGAAAGGCATGGTCAGTCATCACCTGAATGTTTTAAACACTTCTTTCAGGAAGATACTAACATCAATAATCAGGCACACTCTGGAGAACCAGGAGAAATCCGACTACCTTCAGGCCGTCAAATGCTTATTCGAATCACCCGCCAAGACGGGCATCAAGGGTGCGAAGACAAGATGGGATGAACTTCAAAGTTGCCACGTCGAACAGTCGAACTTCATTCACGGAGTTGGGTAAGCTTTTTGGAAAGCCAATCTCGACTTGTTTTTTTCTAACTCCACATTCAGAGCCTTCCTTCCTTGGCACCGCCTCTTCCTTCGCCTCCACGAAATCCTTCTCCAAGAGGAGTGCGGATACACTGGTGCTCTGCCTTACTGGGACGAGCAGCGCGACCTTGAGGTGTTTGGAACTGTCGAGAAGGCCTCTGTTTGGGGCTCTGATGAGTTCAGCTTCGGAACCAACGGTGTCAACACCACTCAAGGCACCAACTGCGTCATTGATGGCCCTTTCGCCAACACCACCCTTCGCATGGACCAAGTCTACGGCATCGACTACTATGACGAATACTGCCTCTCTCGCGAGTTTAACCAGACTGCCTTTACTTTCGCCAACCAGTCCTACGTCGACGAGTGCTACATGAAGGAGACTTACAACGAGGCCAACTTCTGCTACGTTGATTCCCCTCACTCTTGTGGCCACCTTGCTACTGGCGGCACCGTAAGTAACCTTCTCAATCCAATCTTCGGCTGTGTTTCTGACGCCTGTGATAGATGGAGAACCAAAACGCCAGCCCTGGTGACCCGATCTTCTTCTTGCACCATGCCAACTTGGATCGCCTCTGGTGGGACTGGCAACTCGCGAACCTCTCTTCGCGCCTCACTGATATGAGCGGTCAGCTCATCCCTCCCACCTTCATCATGGAGCAGAATCGCTGGCTCACGCCTTCTGCGGCCTACCTCGACTACGACGGTGATGCAGGCAACGACACCACTCTGAACCACGTTTTGTGGATGGCTGAGATCATCCCTAACAAGACTATCGCTGATGTGATGGATCTGAGATCCGAGCTCCTTTGCACGGAGTACATTGTTGCTGAGAAATAGAAAGAGTGCTTGCACTATGATGATGCGAGATGGTTCATCCCCGAATTTGCGGGTGCAGATATACCCCCCTAGACGTATAGATTTCTCAAGATAATAGACATAAACTTCAAATATCCCAGCTGCCAGCAGATGAAAGCTAAATAAATTCGGCATGATCAGCAATTTACTGTTTCCTTTGACGTCGTTCTTCTCGTTGTAAGCCCGGGTCACGGCAAGCAGCATTGGTGTTGATGCGTGTCTCGGACATACCAAACGTCAGAAAAAGGCTGGTCGCTCGGCTTTAGGCAGAATGCATTTCTGTAATCCCGATGATTGAATCCGCCTGCCGCCAGCAGTCCGACATCCAGCGATCGAAGCCACAAACACTGAGTTTAGCGCCGGGAGTAAGCTGTCTCGCGATTCGGGAATATCTACATCAATGTTTCAATAGGCATTGGCGAGGTTGGACACCAAAGTATAAAGCTTGGCATTACAAGGCATCAGGACTTTTTAACGATCGCGATTCAGCTACACTTCACCTAGTGGACATCTTGCCACATCTCAACGGTTTTCACCATTCAAATAAACAACTCGACTATCTGCCTAACATGTCATTTCCATATAAGCAAGTACTTCTAGTGGGTGCCACATCGGGTATTGGAGCAGCAATGGCGGATAAGCTTGTCGGAAACGGCGTCAAAGTCGTGGCTGTCGGTCGGCGCCAGGAACGACTAGATGCATTTGTCAAGAAGCACGGCCCAAGCAAGGCAGCCTCTGTCCGGTTTGACATTACAGATAGGGCAGGTCTCGATGATTTTGTGAAGAGGTCAGTCCCAAGTGCAGAAAATCACTGCCCACAAGCCCCCCTCCCCCGCCCCCTCCCCCTCCCCCACCACGGAATGGATTACTCGACCCGAAGCGTAGAAAGGCCTTGCGGACTTGATGCCTCCATACGGAAAGCATTAGCGACTTACTATACTAACAGTTTAACAGGGTTGTTGATGAGTTTCCCGATCTGGATTGTGTGTTCATCAACTCAGGAATCCAAAGTCAGATCAAATTGTCGGAACCTAGCAGTGTTGATCTTGATGCCTTTCGGGAGGAGATAAACGTCAATTTCTTGAGCGTTGTCGACATGTCGGTCAAATTCCTTCCGAGACTTCAAGAGAAAACAATCCCGACAAGTTTGATCATTACCGGCACTCACCTTGCTCTGATTCCGGCAGTGACTTTACCAGCATACTCTGCTTCCAAGGCAGCTCTTCATGCCTTTGTCTACTCTCTGAGACAACAACTACAAGGGTCTAGCACTAAGATCGTAGAGATCTGGCCTCCCTTAGTGCAAAGTCAGTCGTCAAATGTGCTATTTTTGATATCCAGGACAACACTGACAACACCACCAGCCGAATTGCACGATTACATGGGCGAGGAGAAAGGTCGATCGATGGGAATGCCTGTTGACGCGTTTACCAATGAGACATACAAGCAACTTGTTTCCGGCACTGAACATATTCTGGTTGGCTCAGTCGGCCTGGAAGAACCATTCCTGCAGTTGGTAAAGGCAAGACAGAAACAGTCGGATGATCTGTCAAAATTCATGCTCTCACACCCCTAAAGTAGATAGTGAGAGAAGATGCCAAAAGCTTGATAGTCTTGGTGATCCACTCGAATCCTCCCGCTGTTCGATCTTACCGTGGATCAGATGTAACTTAGGTCACAATGGAACAACATTGAGGTGGCCAGGCGTGTTCAGAATGCCATTTAACCATCTTTGCAGGATAAGTGGTCATCCCTGGCGATGATCATTTGATACTTAATTCTTGGGACAATACCTAGATCCTAAGTGAAGATCACGCTTTACATGTGCACGCAAATCTTTTAAAAACATGGTTTGGCTATAGGGTCCCATAACACTTGGCTGCAGTTTGAAACCTCAGGTTCTTGCTATTCTCTTTTACGTGACTTGTTCTGATTATTGACGACATATCTTAACATCTCGGCACGCCTATTTCAGCAAAAATTGCCACGATCACTTTGGCCGAATGAGAAATCGACATAGTGTCATGTTCTAGCGATTTGAGTGTACTTGCTATTTTCAGACTTGATCAAATACATGTAACTCAATGATAGGTAATCATGGCCTAGAAGTAGCTGGGTTGCAACGCAATCAAAGTACTGACTTTTGGCGCTTCGCGTACCCGCTTTCCCAGAACCCAGGCCAGTAATCAGGAACTTCCTCAAGGATAAACCTCGAAAGAGCTGCGCTGGTCTCAGCCGGCTTCTCCATGTTTGCCCAATGTCCAGCTTGAATAGTCACTTCGGTGAGGTTGCTACACGCCTGGCGCATTGGCTCGGCTAGCCGGGTAGTCTTGGTCTCGCACACGTAGTCGAATGCTGCATGGATGAGCAAGGCAGGCTTCTCAAATTTGCCATCGTTTGGTGCCTTTGAGTTGAACTCGTGGTTGCGCTCATGGTTCATGTAGTAAGCTGATCCCGGCCAGTACCCCGTCTTCTTCATCGCCTTAGTGAACTCATCAAAGACCTCACCCTCGAGGAGGGGGGCTGGAATTTGATCTGGGGATGGAGGTTGTGAGATCCCGCCAAACCATCCTCCGTCCTTTCTGACAGTGGAAGTGAATGTGGGCTTAGGGGGATAAACTGGCTTGCCCGGTTGCCACAAAGCCTTGTTGATCCCCTCGATATCTTTCTCATACCAGGCTACAGCCTTTTCAAAATCTTCTTCGTAATGACGCATGTAGTCCCATTGTCCGTAGGGGTATTGGTCTTCGGGATAAACCTGGCGGTCGACAAGGGCCAGTATTGCGTTCAGCCCCAAGTCAAGTGTGCGATACGGAACACAGACATTCACCAGGGCCTTGACAACTTCCGGACGCTGTGCTGCAACAGTTGAAACGCACGGGGAACCCCAGTCATGACCGATCCAGACGGCCTCCTTCCGACCAGTGTGTGCGAGGAGTGCTAGTAGTCCTTCGAGAATACTCTGCTGGGAGTAATCCTCGATAACTTTGCGAGCTGTCGATTTGCCGTATCCGGGCATGTCCGGCGCGATGGCCCGGAAACCTAGAGCGCTGAACGCCTCAAGCTGAGGTTTCCATGCAAGTGAAATCGCCGGCCAGCCATGGACGAATACAAGGAGAGGTCCATTGACTGGACCCGCAGCGAGGTAGTGGATATTCTTGTTGTCGGCGTAGCCAACGTCGTATTCCTCAAAGGTAGACATTGTGAGTTTTGAGATGAATTGTGTTGGGACGTGTTTCAGCAGACAGGTTCGGGAGCTTGGTTCTTATACTTCATCTCATACCTAAGGTAGTCATTTTGGAGTCAAGGCTGGAGTATGACCAAACCTAAAACTCCGCAACTATATGCATGCCTATCCGTGGACCTGATGGAACGGGGGATGTGTAGATCACGTCCACAAAAAGTAAGATGAGGTGAGCTGAGTAAAACGTCGCTGCATATGCTACCACCTGTCGACAGCGAAAGTGGATATATTTTGTTCCCGCTTCGACCGAATGGTCGACCGGCCGATCTGGGCGTTGCTGAGTGGTCGGAGTCCTTGTAGGCCGCGGGCCAAGTTTCGGCTGGATTATTAATACCTGCATTGGCGCATGTGCATGTTAGCTTGTGTCACCCACCTTAGAATCCCCGCAATGCCCGGCCACTCTGTCGTGGAGGCGCTGTTCTTTCAGTCCAGTCAACATCGGGGGTCAAAAGCGTACCTAGACAGAACATACATTCAATGTGAGCAATATGATGTGTCTTCAACCGCCCCTTAAGTGCCCAATGAGGCGCACTTAAATACAGGGCCAAATGGTGCGGAACGTATCAATTAGCCGAAGAGTTGAGGGAAGAAACCAGTAACGACCATCGTTGCACCCCCTTGCTTGTCTCGAAGTGGGGTGCTATTGCCAGTGCAGTGCTGTGATGTTGTTAAGCCAGCTTCCTTACCAAGCTGAGCCAGGTCCTTGTTCACAGGGATACAGCAAGATGTAGATTGAATCGAGATCTTGCGTCGAATCCCATCTAACTATCAGATATTTCCAGTCAATTCCTTTTGCGGGCAGGCAAATGAGGTTTAGCGGTGACTCCTCGTGGTCTATTTCGTCGCGGGTCCAATTGGAAGCAGCGTGACTACAGTCTTCTTCAGGCGATGTCAGCAAAGCTTCATCAACAGACCACCTCCTTCGCAGGAGGGGGTGATTCCGCGGAAACGATTCTCTGACTCACTACATTATCTGACCAGATTGGCAGCAGCTTACACTCGGCCGAACTGCCATTTTGCCAGCACGTAGTGAGCATCTCTACTCTACCTTACCTAATAAAAGTACCTTCTGTTAATCACGCTATCTTGACACCGCCTCGAAGGCGCCACCTGACATTGACCTCACTTACCGTCAACGTAATGTTAAAGCCAGTTGTCCCAAGCATTGAGAAACTATCCATACGTCGCCGAGAATCTGAAGTACATGTTCACCACGTGCCAAGAACTGACTGATGATATAATTTGGTGGGTTTACCCCGAATGCAACATTGCCGAACCGAGAGTAAACTATCGGCTCCAAGGTAGCTTACCAGGCTTATGAGGTTACTCTCGCAAACCTAACATCGGATTTATCGGTTCTTTCCTAGCCCGGTTTCTTCTGGAAGCGCACACTCTTAAACATTGCAGAGAATCCTCAAGTGCACTCAAGACATTTGGGTCGGTGTTATAACGGGCCCGCGTGCGGCAGCAGCCATACCCCGCCTCCAGAGCAGACTAGGATTACTGATTAATTGACAAATCATTCAGACTCAATACATGTATCTCGAAAGCTTGGGTTCCGCTACTGGGTTGAAGAATATGGAGCTGTTAACAAGATGCTTGCGCATCTCCCCGCTAATTATAGTTGAATAGTAAACATCCAACAAGAGAGAGATTGATCCACTAAGCTGACAATGACTCACTTAGACAGAAAGATAGATCCATTAATGCCCACTAGAATATGGTCAGTCAGGCAGAAATCCTCAATCGCCATGATCCCCGCGACTTGACATGATTGGAATCATGGGCCAAATCACGTATTTCAAAACTAGCACCAGCATCCACCGGCCAAGTTTGACGGAAGCCATTGCCCTGGAGTCACAAAAGACCTATAAGCGGAATCTCGTTTCGTAGAACCCCCATAATCCTTGAAATTTCGGACTACAATATCGGCTAGAATCAATCTGAAAACCCCTGTCTCCGAGGACAAACAAGCGTCGATCTTTGGATGTCTAGACGAATTTCCATTCCTATACACCTCGTTCGCTCTTACATTGTACCGAAAAGTTCTAATAAGCAGTTCTCAAGCGAAATTTGGAGGGCCAACGTGACTGCCGAGGGGGAATACAGGTCTACTGATGGAGACGCCTGGTTGGACCCGTATGACGGAAAGTGGATGGCGCCCACCGGATACTCCCCCCACCGGGACGCTCTCCAGGCTAGCACTACTGCACCCAGTTTAGTGTTGCCTGGGCTGGATATCTGGTGAACGAGAGAAAGAAATAGCACCTCTACAACGTGTCTTCCGTAATGAGAGATTCAAACGTGTTACGTGTTTGTGGCATGGTCATATTGAAGAAAAGCTCCCAAGCAGACGGACTTAGGATTGTCAAGATATCGGGACGAGACAGGTTGTCGATTGGTTTCCATGAGCATATCTGACATGTACTCACCTCGTAAATTTGCGGCCTAGCATGAAGCAGAAGTTGCAGTGTCTCGATATTTGCGAGTCGTCCAGAGAAGGATAATCATGCTGTCATCCTTTCGCGGAAGAGAGGGGGATGACCCAGGGTTGTATAGATCTTTACTGGTGGTGTAACCCCAATCTCCCCTTCTACGTACAAGCCATGAAAAATGCGGAGGGTAGCAACCCCTAATGCGCCCTCTCTCCACGTGCGGGGCCCCGCACACTTACACGCGTGGCATGTAGGTAGGAATAAGCATAATAAGATCTGTAAGCTATAATTAAGGACCTCTATCAATAGGTATATAACACAGGGAAGAAGCTCACAGAGGCTAACTACTATTAGGGTCTAAAAATAAATTATTAAAATCTACCCTTCCCTCAAAATATATTATTAACGGTTTATATATACCTAAGCTATTTTTTTATTACTTAGTTCTCTTCTTTATACTCCTTAAACTATTTTTAAATTAATAAAGTTTAATTAATAAAGCTTAATAAAATACTCCCTTCCCTAAGCTTTATTTTAAAAGCTATTTATAATTTATATATATTATATTAATCCCTTATTTATAAAGTTTTTTAATATATAATATAAGGGTAAATAAAAGCGGTACTTATTAATTTAAATATAAACCCCTTATTTTAAATAATAAATTTAATTAGCCCTATAATTTTATACTTAAGTCGCTCTTATTTATAATCCGTTTTTATAATTACTAGTACTTAAATAGTTATTACCCTATTTTTATTTATTAATATTAACCCCTTTTTAAATTACTATAATTTTTAATTTTTTTTTTTTTCGTAATTATTTTAATTATATATAATCTTTTACTTTTATTAGCGTTTATACTATTTTTTTATTACGTAAATCTTATAATTAATA